GACCCTGGGATGGACCGGTTTGCCCGGCGGCGTTTCTCACAGCGGGAGGGGGGTGAAAGTGTTTCGACTAATCCCAGAAGCCGACTATCCCATGGCGATCCCAAGATAACGTCTCAGTCTAAACAAGGCTATTATGGCGGGCCGTATTTTGCCCAGCCCTGGGCTAGACTGTTAAGCGCATATACGTTGTTTCCGCTCGAGTCGAGCTCGAGATGTTGCAGAAATAGGCTAGGGATAGGGCTGTGGATCGATTAAAAACGTTAAGCATTTAATCGAGAGCCATTTAATAGCCACGGCCATGGTGGAAGATGATGCAAGTGCTGATAAATGCAGTCAATCGATGTCAAAAGTCAATCGATGGACACTTTTGTTTCGTTCTTTGAACCGCGAACGAGCGTATTAGCCGTGTCTTCCTTCGACGCGTTTCGCTGGTTCTTTACGACGCACCCAGCAGATAAGAATAGGCGCTCACACGGATATTCCAAGATTCTTGTGCGAAAGACTCCTCCATCCTCGAATCCTCAGGCCCGAATGTAGGCCTCAACCCTTCCAGCCGGCTGGTTAAGGTCCCGCCACTAGGAGGTTGAGTTCGGGATTCCTGATTGGCTGAGGAAGGAGAGAGGTTGAGTTCGGGATTCCTGATTGGCTGAGGAAGGAGAGAGGTTGAGTTCGGGATTCCTGATTGGCTGAGGAAGGAGAGAGGTTGAGTTCGACTATGCTCCCATACTCTGTAACGGGCCGTCAAAGGCTGTTTCATTTCCCCCTTCTCTATCTCGAAGTCGGCTCCGTTTACGAAAAATCGTGTGAAAGAAGGTTTTTAGTCTAGGGTCTGCCCAAGCCAGTCGCATAAATTTCGTATCTGTACAACCAGGTTTAAGGGAGATAAACGTGCACAAGGAACCGTGTATTCATATACACCCGTCTCGACATCAGGTTCCACTCTACTCCTACCGACATCTCGATAATTACACTTTTTAAGAGATATGCTCTCAGACAATACTTTTTGTCCGATGTCCACCCCATGCAGTGGTATAAATATTGTAAGCGAGTATACGTATTTATGACATTTCTCATGCGATATCCTGCCTCAGGTACAGTACTGATGACATATCCATAGAGTTACACGAATGAAGAGCCTCTCATGATTTTTAGTATGATACTGATTAGAGAATCTGACAGGTTAAATTCGTTGACGACAGATCGATAACTGCTCTCTCCACTTGCCTCATAAAAACCAAGTGAGGCCGCTCATTTATTGTTACTTTTCTGGCATTTTTCACCTGGATAATACAAAAAAAATTGGCGATTGTCACTTTGCCCATTGAATTTTGCGCCACCCCGTTGATCGATCGACACCTAAAATGCGCTTTGAGGCCTCTGCCGTTAAGCATCCTCAGAAACCATCGAGCAATAACATTCGGTAGCATTCGGTCCTTGCATCCTGCCGAACGAAATCATTTTGAATGCCAGAAGTTGGAAAGCGACCTTTAATTTTCAGAAGCACCGATGATGAAAACGGAAGTTGACGATTTCTTCACTGCACCCAACACGAAGACTTCCACGAAGCTGCGATCGGGCAGGGTGAAAGACGAATCCCACGCAAATTTTAAGTGCTTAAGGCTCCATGCGCTTAAGAAACTGGCGCACCGGGGCGCTGGGAGCAAGGGGTCGCCCCTCCCAGACGCCCCGCGCCGCGACGGCAGCGAGTCCGTCCCTCAGCTCCCTCGCCTCCTCCCACATGCCGTAGAGTCTCTGCTCGAGATATTCTTCGACGGTCGCGGTGGGGAAGACGAGGCCGAGGGCGGAGTGGAGATCTCGGCCGACGCTCTCCACGCTCTCCACCAGCGAGGCCAGGCGATCCTGGACCTCGCGGATCCTCATCGGGGAGGTGAAGCGATGCCTGAGGTTGTAGGGCGTGTACCAGCCCTTGCTCCTCAGTGCCGACGTCTCCCGCGCGAACCGTTCCTCGAGCGGCTGCAGTCGCCGTGCGGCCTCGAAGATCTCGTGACCCGGGAAATCGCACCGCCCCAATCCCTCGTAGGTCGTCTCCCCCGCAGACTCTCCGTCGCAGCTCAAGATCCGCCTCGCCTCTTGGACCAGTCCCCGCCCCTTACGCCCGGACGCGACCGCGACCAGATCCAGCACCAGCGACGGAATCCCCGCCGGCAACAACTCGCACAGCACCGCAAAGTGATCGTACCTCTGCCACCCCGTTAACACGATCCCCCTGAATTCCTGGAACTTCCCCGCCTCCTTCCGGAAGACCTCCAGCCACTTCAGGTTGTTCTGCAGGTGTCTCCCGAGCGGCGGAAGCACCAGGGTCTCCCCGAACGCCCCTTTGAATGCGCTGGCCCCCCAGACCCGATCGAACGCCCCGGCGTACGCGTTCCACGTCGTCGCCGGGACGAACTTGTACACGTCCTCCGCGTAGACCCAGACCATCGGCTCCACGAAGGCCAGGTCGCGGTCCGCCAGGTCCGACGGGGACAGCTTCCGGAACATGTCGTCCCAGACGATGGGAATCAAGCCGTGCTTCTTCCGCACGTAGTGGGCGACGAACTCGACGTGCGACAGGAAAAGGTCGTTCTTCGCCCTCGATCGACACCGAGGACACAGACCGAGGAGAAACACCTCGTCGCACCCGACGTGCAGATGAGTCGGGCCGTACCTCCGGTGCACCCGCATCACCTGGTCGATCGTCTCCGTCACCATCGCCCTGGACTCGTTATCGGACGGACACAGCGCCTGCGGATCCCCCGGCGACTCCCTGAGCGACTCGAACTCCCTCGTCTTGAGCACGAACTCCAGATGCCCGAACGTCTGCACCAGAGGGATGACGTCGAGGCGGAGGCGACCCGCGGCGTCGAGCACCCGCTCCACCTCCTCCACGCTGTATCGATCTCGAGCCGCGATGCCCCCCAGCCTCCCTTCGAAGGGGAAGGCGTCCTCCCACTCCAGCAGGATCCCCGTCGCACCCGCGCCTTTCACGAGCTCCAACACGCGGACGAGGTAGTCCGCCTTCGGCGCCGCGCCCTTCAGGTCGAAGTGGACGATCCGCCGCTTCGGGAGGACCGAGGTCCTGGAGGAGGTGTCTTTCGTCGGGAGGTCCACTTCCTTCTTCTTTTCTCGAAGACTTTCGTTGCTGGAAACGCGAGGATCGGGCGTTATGTCGGCCGAGGACTTTTCCGGAGTGCGTCGAGATCCTGCCGGTTCCGCTTGCAAGCCATCCTCGAGAAAAGTCCATTTCTCGCTCCTGGTGAAACCTGGCCGTGGAAAAGGCCGTCCGACGAAAGGCGTCTCGTTTCCGTCCGGGAAGCGCCGAGATCCGGCGGTAGTCGGCGAACCGCTCGGGACGCCCACCCGCGAGAGCGGAGCTCCGTCGCTCCTCCGAGTCGCGTCGCTTCGCATCGCGTCGCTCCGCGTCGCGTCGCCCTCCCCGCCCAGCCTCCCCACACCCACGCCCAAGAGTGCGAGCACGGCCATCGCGAAGCAGACGCAACGGGGCCTTGCCGGACTCCACCGTCGCCTCCCCGCCTCGAGGGACCTCGGCTTCCTCCACGAGATCCACATGCCTCGGGGATATCCTGGGGGAATCATACAAAAAATTCATCTTAATTGTGCTTTAAATGCTTTTGCTGACGAACGCGGTCCCAGGGCGACCCTGGGATGGACCGGTTTGCCCGGCGGCGTTTCTCACAGCGGGAGGGGGGTGAAAGTGTTTCGACTAATCCCAGAAGCCGACTATCCCATGGCGATCCCAAGATAACGTCTC